AATTCTTATAATTATGAGATTTAATTTTTTTTTTGCTTTTATGTGAGATTTTAAAATAATTATTTTACTTAATTATATAAGTTTTTATGTTTCATAGTTTTTTTTAATTTAATTTTTTATCTCATACTTTGAATGATAACATTATTTTTATGTTAATTATATTAAATTTAAATAATACTTATAAATAGTTGTGTCATTATTATAATATTTAAATATAATAAATATTTATTATGTCATCCGGTTCGACCCCGGTTCGACCCCGGTCGAACCATCAAACCTCCAACCCCTTCTTCTTCCGGTTCATTGACCGGTCCGGTTTCAAAAGCCTTGCCCTCGACGCGCTTGACGCGCCGGTGAATCCCCTATACGCGCTCTTGTAGCACGGTGGGGGAGAATCCGGTGCGACATGTGCGACGAGGCGGGTAAGCCCTATACACGCTCTTGAAGCGTGGTGGGGACGGTCCTCGACCTCGACAACTCCGGCGACTGCAACGTAAGGTATAATTTCTAACTCCAGTCCCGTCCTCGACGTTTGCAGCGGACCGGAGAACCACCTATACGCGCTCTTGTAGCACGGTAGGAGGGAGCCCGGTGCGAAGCATACGGCGAGGCGGGTAAGCCCTATATACGCTCTTGTAGCGTAGTGGGGAGAGCTACTACTGTTCTGGTACAGGTACTGCTGAAGACCCATACACGCTCTTATAGCATGGTGGGATGAAATTTGTACGGCCGCGGTGTCTAACGACACCTACCATACACGCTCGAGTAGCGTGGTGGGAGGGCCCAGCTCCCCTATTTTCCCCCAAACGGAGGATATGCCGGGATGCTGCCGAAATTTTTACTGAAATGTACAAAGACTTGAACAATTTGAAGACCTTCTTAGGCAACAATATAGAAGACTTGTACTTGAACAGAAGTGCACAGAATTTGAACTAAATGAGCAGATGACCTGTACGATGAATAGTGGATTTGTGGACCTAAACCTGAACAAAATTTAAATGATTTCTAAATGTCAAAATCAAATAAAATCAAATCAAAATTGAACTCAAATTCAAATCATTTGAACAAGAAAATGAACTTGCAAAGAACTTTAGAGGACCCTGGACAATCAATTTGAACTTGAACGAGTACTCGAATTGAACCAAAACTTGAGCTTGAATGGAGTCAGAAATCAAGAGGGGAACAAGGAATCCAGATAAGAATTGCACTTTATCCGGCCAAAGAACTTGAATCCGTTCTTGAATTCGTGCTATACAACATCAAGTAGGAGTTGTAGACTCGATGAACCCGAGTCTAAATGAGACTTAACCCGGACTCAAACATATGCAAAGAACAAAACTCGGATCATACACGAGTTAATTCAAATTACAAGAGCACTCATACGGTCAAAAGTGACACAAAGCACGTTACAAGACCTCAATGCATGAAATCCTATGACAATGCCTGGATGTGCCTATTGATTGAGATGGCAATACTGGAGACCAGCAGTCAAAGACCGTCCCCTGCAAGCAAGTGCAGTCATCAACCACCTGAGATTGGTGAAAAGGTGGATTTGATGCAGAAGCAATGGGTCTTCTACAAATATCTTCAGGAGGTCGTAGTGGATACGACGGTCCCCGCAAATATATACAAGTCGCTTGTGGATAACAACAGTGGGTATGTCGTAGGTACAACGAACCACTGTGGGCACAAGTACATATATCACCTACGACGGTGGTGATCAAGATCTTCAAGTATTTCGGGTATAAGAGCGACTCGATATACAAAAAGTACACCCCCCTGAAGGAATGGAGGAAATATTTAAACAAATTAGAACCAAACTTCCTGGTGTTCCCAAGCCCCTTCTTAGTCCTATACTTAAGAAGAAAACGGTTCTGGTGCCCACAAACACCGAAAATAACAAGTCCACTACACTGTTGACCTCAAAGGGAGTTCTCTTCAAAGCAACGAACTTCAAAGTCCAGAAGAATATCCTCGGTGATTGAGAAAGGGGGAGTCAACATCAGAATCCACGCCACCGGATCTGCAACACTTATGCAAGCAGACAAAAGGCGTCCACAAGAATACAACGCCACGCCACCGGATCTGCAACATTCGTACAAGCAGACAGAAGGCGTGTAAAAGCTCTTCAAGTAAAAGTTGTGCATTTAAATGACAAATACTTACACAACTACAATTATTTTAAAATACCCCTGCACATGCACTAGAGACTGTATACACATAGGTACACTAAAGGAGGTATATAAAAATCACCCACATGGGCCCCGGCAAGAGTGTTATTGGTACACACGTGACGCCTAGGGATGTTGCGCGGGTCAATAAGTGAATTCAAGTTCGAATCTGATCCTTCTATATTGGTCAATAGAAGTCGACAGGGTTCGAACCAACAAACAAGTATACAGTTGCGATGGTTAGTATATTTGTTTTATTGCATTCATATTAGGCCTTCAAGGCCTACAATCAAAAGAATTCAATAAACAAAAGGCATGAAACCTACGAAACCCAATCCTCCTAAGTAGATAAATAGGAGTAGACAGGGTTCGAGATATCGGATAAATATGCGGTCACGAAAGTCGACCGGAATATTTATCTTATACATTCATATTCGGCCTCCAATAAAGAAAATTCATGAACAAAGGCACAAAGCCTATAAGAAATTCGATCCTCGAGCAACAGTTTGGTCGAGTTGACAGGGTTCGATCAACTAAAATGGAAATGACCCCGAACACCTCGATGATGGTTGTGTTGAATGCAGATCTCAACTTGAGGGGTTCACAAATACTTTTAAATGTCTCCCAAAAGTCCATTCAAAATTCAAGCTCCACCAAAAAACCCAAAATTTCCAAATATTTAAAATTGAAATCTATCTATCAACACTTAAAGCAAAGTCCATCCACCCTCCACAACAGTTTGTCGGGGTGGACAAATCAAAATCTACTTCTGCTCACAAAGAGCGAAATGCTTAGTCGAAAATATCACTAGGATCCATTATCAAACAATCTCATGCCAGTAAGAACGTGGTACGTGTCCTCTAACAGTGGTTTTGCAGCCAAATGACACCGCAGAATAAACGGTTATGACGACCCGGGGCCCTCTGAACCGAGTGGTTTTTCCGCCAAATAGCACCACAGATAGCGGTTATGGCCAGAGCCAATACGCTCCTTAATGACATCAAATCCTTGAGATATGAATCAATATGATATGATCGATAGGGCACAAAGCCCTCTGTTAGCTAAGGTGGATTCAAATTTGTCCCCTTAGACAAACATTCACCCCAGGTCTACGAGGTCCCCTTGGACGAAGCAACCCATGGCTGCCGACAAGGATCCTTTTGTCAGGTTGGGTCGACTACCTCCTCTGACTAAGTAGACCAGGGACCACAATGGCCCAGGACGACGGAACCATGGGATCTTGATCGGGTCCATCATCCATTCCCCCATCATTGACTTTAAGTGCAAAATTGTGCAATTTCTATTTTAAATATCAAATCTTCCAACCCAAATTCCAAATCCAAAAACCCAATTCTTCAATTCCCAAATTCAAACTTTCCAATTTTCAAATCCATTGCTGCTACTATATGCCAGAAGCACGTATCTCTATACGAATCTGATTGATGACTAGCCTTAATCGAAAGTTCTCTCTCGTGATCGGGAGGGGTAATTAACTATAGGGGCTTGCGCCTATAAGAAACCAGAACTCAGATCATAAAGTCCTCGCAAAATGAGGGTGAAATCTCTGGGTAGTGTCTTATCTACAAACCCATCTGCCTTCCAAAATTTATCCCGGAACATATCCGTTAAAACTCCCCTCGCCGAATAAAAAGAAAAAAGCGGCGGGGAGGCTGGGGCCGAATTTTCGGAGCCCACAATTGGATCATCTGGATTCTAGAATATTTTCTCAAAATGTGTTTAGGTTTTCATGACAGTTGGAAAAAATTCAAACCAAACAATTCAAAACTAGTTGAAATATGGAACCAGCAAAAAAATATAATGCAAAATGTTATATTTCTACACCTTGCTAATGACAATTGCACAGATTATGTGGTTCACTATTCTATGAGGCATGGCATGCTATTTTCTTCTATTGACCTCAACTGTACATGCATGATATGCATATCCAGTAAACAATCATAAGGAAATCGGTACGCTAGTTTTTAACTAGTAAATAATTCCAGAAAATCCTTCCACTTAATGGAACAACTCCAGGCGTGAAAAGTTAAAGCAATAGAACGCAAGTAGAAACAAAATCAAACTGTGCAACCATCAAAGAAATATGGCAACCACAAAGAGCTCAAAATGTCACGCAGACCGCAAATTCCCCGTTTAAGTTTGTTTGAAATGAAAGTGAAGGGAATTAAAAACAACGACAACCTACATCTATACTTCGAATCTAAAACATCTTGTTTGATATATCAATTTGATAAAATAAAAAAAATAAAAAAAAAACATCTTGTTTGAAATTTTCAAGAATCAACCCCGTCTTTCACATAAATATCTAGCATCCAACCCGAGAAAAAAAATTGCGCTCAAAATGTCACGCAGACCGCAAATTTTCAAGTTTCAAAACAATCTACAGATCCTAACCCCCTAAACAAAAGCATCTCTACTTCAAATACAGCAATCTACCCCAATGCCGGTGAAAGAGACAAAGAAGACTCCGCATATGGATACAGCCATAATTAAATAAAATAAAATAGACAAATAATTCGATAAAATAAATCTAAAATATAAATCTAGGGCCTGAGGGCACGAATATCCCATTTTCTTCTTCCTCTACCTCAATCCGCAGCGCTCTTTCGTGAATCTCGTACGATATACGACACAGCGCTTCTCCGATCACCCTTTCTCTTTCAAAATGGGATCTTATCTTATTTGCTCATCACATCCACTCCTCAACGACGGACGATCGAGAGGGAAGTAGATTTGGGGCTGAGAGAACTAATCGCAAAGGGATCGTTTAGAATTCGAGAACTTTCGAGGATCGATGCCTTGATGATCACAGCCGCCCATTTATAGTTGCACGGCTAAGTATGCGTCGGACTGGACCATAACGGTTCTTTCCACGGGCATCGGCGGGGTCCACCTGATTTTCTGTGGCCGGCGCGGTATGCCTGGTTGCCGGGGCGCGAGGGTGGCGGCTGAAGTGGAAATATGTGGGGTGGGAATATAAAATAAGAAAGAAAGGAAAAAAAATTAAGGAAGATAAGTCTTGAAAATAATACTAAATTATTTATTATATTATTTTTATAGAATAAAAAAACTTTTGAAATAATTTATAAATTTTTATGTGTCCTAAGTCCTAACCATGCACTATACATGTGCATATTTTAATTATAAATAATATTTTAGACTAAGTTGTTATCATTTGCAGTTTATTTAGTACCCTAACAAACTATTTATTTTCTCATTTCTATTTTTTAAAAGCTTCAAGTGTGATGTTTTTTTTAAGACTTCATTAGAGACAACTTTCTTACTGCTTTTTAAAGCAGTTTTGTATTAGAAAATTTTTTTGAATTATAATTTGAATTATAATTTTCTTACTAGAAACCTGTTTTTAAAAATAATAAGAAAATTGTTCCAAATAAGTCAAATTATTCTATGCGGATACAGACGTTGTCCGGAGACGAATCAAAACGCTCCACATCACCCGTTTGTTGTATAATGTGGCTATGTGACCCTATGCACTGAGTGATGTGGCGCGTTTTGATTCACCTTCGAACAATCTGATGTCCGCACAATAGAGCCTAAGTCAAAACTTTAGATGATTTATGGTGCTATTGTGGGACACTTAAAAATCTTATTATAAGTGTATATATTTATAGCAAAAACATATCTCAAAGTTCCTATAGATATGAATTGCAAACTCAAACAAGTAAACTCATCATATTTCATATAACTACAAAAGTATTATATTTGCGACCAAGCACGCCTACAATCTTCATCAAAACTTCAACTTTATCTTAGCAATTACTTATGGCGATCTCCTTAACAGTCATAACATTTTATTGTATTATTCTCATCGATGATATGCATGTGAATACAACCATTTTCTTACATAATAAGTGAGGTATAAGCGGTTATATTTTAATTTATAATTCTATTATATATTTAATCAATTATATCATAATTGATTCTATATATGTTTTTTAAATTTATTCACAACAAAAATATATAAATATAAATATTGCAATCTAATTGAACCTCTTTACAGATTAAAGAGATGGTGGCCTCTTCACACTTTGATCATTATTATTTTTATATATTTTCATATGTTAGCTTGGTTTCTACCATGAGAGAATGATTATTTACTTTACTTTTTATTAAAGGGCTATTTAGTATGAAGTAAAATAGGCGTAAAGTATTTCAAATACAGAAGTTTTAAATATATTTGTGCTTTATTTGAGTAAAAGAAATACAAAGTGTTGTTTTTTAAATGTGCTTAGAATTAAACCTTAAGTTCAATTTGGCGTATTTGAAATTTATTATATTTGATCAATTTTCTAACACACTATAAATTCTACGCAATTTTTGTCATCACTACCAACTTCAGCCATCGAACTATTATATATAGTTTTGTTTTACAGTTCATTCATTCTACTTCAAGCCAAAGAAAAAAAAAACAATCACATGCATTTATTTTACTGTTATCTAAATAACTTCAAATATACCGTATTTCTTACACTATATTACGGCCCCTAAGTTGAAATGAAGTGTATTATATCCCTTTTTAATTTTTATAATTCATTTTTTACCACTTTAGCTTCTATATTTTATTAATAAATTTTATGCTTGATTATGCAAATATAAAACATAATAGGTTTAAACTTTGTGGATTTTTCTTTGAAATTAGCACAATATAAATTATTCATGTATAATACTAATATTAAAGTGAATCCATATATTACTATAAAGATCCTAAGTAGTATTTAATTAGCTATGATTTCCAATTAGCAAGGAAATAAAAATAATAAAAAGAATAAACTAAAGTGTTAAGAATAATTGTAGGAAAAACATTTAGTGCATATTTTCCCTAATATATCCATTGTTAGTGTAAAATTTCAACCTCATTTGCAATTGCTTGCTACTTGTTAATATTATATTTGTATCAAATAAAAAAATGTCTCTCAAAGTTATGTTATGCAAAAAACAAAGATAAACACTCATTTGTCATTGCAAATTACTTCATAATAACATAGAGGCGTCTAAGGTTATATAAGGCGATATTTAAGGTGATATTAACATAGATTCTGTCACGCCCCATCATTTAATTTAGATCGAATTGATTTTTTTTTATATAATAATAACAACCATAGTTATCTAATATCTTCCAATAATAAAAAATCAACGGAATCTATTCTATAGATCAAACAAAAAAATACACTTGTATTATTTTCTTTAAAAATCATGTGCAATACTCTTAAGTCATACAAAACAATAATTCATCTTTCTACTCTTTAGTACAAAAGAACAATTAAAAAGACCAAAAGATAGGAAAATCTATAGAGTCCTCTATCTGATCATTCTCATACCCCTGGCTATATTCCATGACCTTAAATCATTAAGTCACATATAATATGCTAAAAAATCCCATTAAATCACAAAAAGCCAACAATGTACCCAAAGCATTGGAAAAGAAATTTTCATAATAGTAGTTGTCAATATAATCATGAATATATGTTGAAATAGTAAATCACATATACGTACAGTAACAATAAAAACATGTAAAATAATTAATTGAAATGGTACGAAGGCCAGTAAAACAATGCAATACATAAACATTGAAATCTATAAATCAATAAACTCAAAATGGATGTCAAGATAACTAAGCAGTAAACAATTATTCTTAAATCATATGTCATAGCAGTATTAAGCAATCAATAAGAAAATTACATAAATTATTAAAACTTAAGCATGTATGAGGACTAACGAAACATTCCATAGCAATGCAATATTATCAGGCAATCATATATAAATATACATATATATGATGTTCAATTATTCTATATTAGTATAAAATCAATATTACTATGACATAAAACAAACAAGGAGTTATGACTTTCATGGTATTTTTATAATAATCATTAAATTAGTAACCATTAGCTCAGCAAATAGCCGTCACTCTTGCTCATCAACACAATAATCATCTCCTTATAACTCCAAATTAGTAAATCACATTAATCAGTAAATGATAACATCAAATTATAGTATATAAATAAAAAGTCCATCGGCCCACAATTATGTATATGTTAGTCAATTTTCAGCAAAATAACTACCATTTACTTATTTTCACACGTACATATTATTACAATAGTAATATACAACGAGCTATTATCCAATCATATGCTCATATTCATTTACAATGTTTGTATTAACATTGTGCTTGCACTAAAATGACAAAATCAATATTTTATGCAAATCATATAAAACAAAATATTAACATTTTACCTTGTAAAATTATGAAATCAATCAGTCAAGATGCCAAGAATAATAGTATTGTGATATAAAAAAACATGTGGTTGAAGTTCACTAAATCCGGATAAAATACAATAAAATCATCTTGGGAGAAATCAAATAGTAGAAATCAAAATATTTGAAAATAGAAATAGGATAGAAGTGAGAGAGAGAGAGAGAGAGAGAGAGAGAGAGAGAGAGAGAGGCAAAAATTGTATAGTATGTTTTTCACTTATATAAAAAATTACCAATATTTTAACACAATATATGATGAAGTAAGTGATATCTATATTATTATAATTTTAAATGGTCATATAATAAATATTTGTATGCAAATTATGCTTAATTACTAAAGTAATAAAACGTATGATATATAAAAATATATTATAATATTGAAAAAGTATTTATTATAATTGAATGCATAATCATTTTCATGTTCGCCTTATTTTAATAAAATAAAACCGATATTATTATCAATTGAACTACAGTATAGTTTATTTTTCATCAAATTTTTTATTCCAATTGAAATAAGTTGTTATTGAATAAATTATGTTAAAACATTATGATATTAATTATATTATAGCGAATTAAAAAATCATTAAATTTTCTTTGAGATTAATATAATATAAATTTTTAATGCATAACACTAATTTTAAATAATTTAATAATTTTAAATCTCTATATATAAAAATTTTATTAGAATGTTATGATAATATATTTTTAATGTTATTAATGTGAAATTATTATCTATTACTTGTGAGCATAATCTTATTATTTTTTACGAAGTTCTATTCTTAACTTTATAGTAAAAAAATAATAAAATAAAACTTTATAGTTATTTTTTAATCAAAAAATATATTCGGGTTGAGTTCTAATTTATATTTTTAACCTGTTTATTAAACATGTCATATTCGAATTGAATCAATTTCATATAGAATCTAAATCCGATTCGTTAACCCGTTTTGACCATCCCTATCTTTATTTAAACCTCCAAAATAACATGAGCAATTTTGTCCCCATAGAGGTAGTCAACGCCAACGCAAATGGCCATCATGGCCAAATACTCCAGCCCCTGATATTGGTCACGACGATTAATAAAAATGATTAGAAATAGTAATATATTTCCGTTGTCAACTTAGGAAAAGTTATTAATAGAACATGTCTCTTTGAGGAGGTTGAGGTTGATGAACTATGTATGCTCCATGAATGACTAATAGTTTACTAATGGATGATTTTTTTTGCATGAATACCATAAAATATTTGTATATTCATATTATTTGATGCTTGAATGTATATAAATTTAAATATTAGATATGAAAATACATAAAAACTTTATGATATTTATGTAAATCATTTACTTCATTATATATTATGTTTAGTTTTTTAATAAGTTCGAAGCGTCTCATTGTTTAGTTTTTTTAAGAAGATTTATATATTATTTTCATGTTAGATTATTTAAGTTTAATTAATGTAAATTTTTCGGGGTATGAATGGGTGAAATTTAAAATAAGTTTAAAGCGTCTCATTGGACGCTCAATTTATCTTGAGAAATTATTTTGTGCGGAGAATGGACGGTGAGAACCGTTCGGATTTGCTGCCCTTTTGTCGTGCTTTTGGAAATAATAAGTAAAAAGATAGTAAATATGGCA